ACTATCAATCAAATACGATGGTGCGATCAAAACATTCCAGGATAAACAGAATCTGAGGGATTTTATCAAAACCAACCCAACACTTCAAAACATCCTAAAGGGAGTTCTGGGGACAGAGAACCAACAAGAACAGATGACAAACAGAGATTGACAGGAATGTCAACACCACCTGGAACACAGCCAACAGAAAGCAGAGTCCAGAACAGAATGAGGCTACATCAACAAACTCAAGGGAGCCCAGAGATCAACCGAAGGACATAAACATATCAATGTCAAAGAAGGAACAAACGCACCAACAGAAACCCAGGTGGTGGGGATGCCAGGTAAATTACAGGTTACAATGGAGTATCCTAAATGCAAAGAAAAGTTAGTAGACTACAAGTTAACCCCAAAAAAGTTAACACTCCACAATGTATCATAAAAACAAATCCCCAAACAGAACAAGCGAACAGAGAAACTAGGAAGAAACCGACCAGAATCAACTCAAAAAAACACAAACCCAATACAAGAAGGAAAACAGAACTAAAGAATGAACAACACTGCAAAAAAAGTAACATAATGACAGCAATCAATTCACACTTATCAATAATTACATTGAATGTCAATGGATTGAATGCAACAGTGAAGAGACAAAGCGTGGCAGAATGTATAAGAAAACAAGATCCATCAAAATGCTGCCTGCAAGAGACACATCTTACACACAAAGACAGAAAAAAAGACTAAAAGTCAAAGGATGGAAAAAATTTTACCAAGCCAACAGCAGCAATAAACAAGCATGAGTGGCTATACTATTCTCCGACAAAGTAGACTTTAAGATAAAAACTAGCATAAGAGACAAAGAAGGACACTATCTCATGATCAAAGGGTCAATTGAGCAAAATGACATAACTATAATAAACATATATGCTCCCAACGAAAGAGCACTAAGATACATGAAGCAAACCTTAATGGAATTGAAGAAAGAAATAGATAAATCCACAATTATAGTAGGAGATTTCAACACACCACTCTCAAAAACGGATAGAATAACCAGAAAGAAATTTGACAATGCTACAGAGGAACTTAACAACACAATCAACCAACTCAACCTCATAGATGTATACAGAGCATTCTATCCAACAATGGTACAATACACATTCTTTGCCAGTATGCATGGAACATTTTCCAGAATTGGCCATGTGTTAGGCCACAAAGCAAGCCTCCATAAATTCACAACCATCAAAATTCTATAGAGCATCTTCTCAGACCACAACGTTATAAAACTAAAAATCAACAATAAGAAGGAGGGTTTAAAATTTCCTAATACATTTTATGAAGCAAGTATAATCCTCATACCCAAACCAGGGAAGGACATCACTAAGAAAGAAAATTATAGACCAATATCCCTCATGAACATAGACGCAAAAATTCTCAACAAAATCCTAGCCAACAGAATCCAACAGCACATCAAAAAAATAATACATCATGACTAAGTAGGTTTCATAAAAGGGATGCAAGGATGGTTCAACATCAGGAAAACAATCAGCGTAATCCATCATATAAATAAGAAAAAGAAAAAGAACGACATGACTCAGAAAAGGCATTTGACAAAATCCAACATCCATTCCTGATAAAAACACTCAACAAAGTAGGAATTGAAGGGAAATTCCTCAACATAATCAAGAGTATATATACAAAACCAAGAGCCTACATCACACTCGATGGAGAGAAACTGAAAGCCTTCCCCCTGCGAACAGGAATCAAACAAGGATGCGCTTTATCACCACACCTATTCAATATTGTGCTGGAAGTTTTAGCCAGAGCTATACGGCATGATAAAGAAATTAAAGGCAACCAAATTGGCAAAGAGGAAGTGAAACTAGCCTTATTTGCAGACAATATGATCCTATACATAGAAAATCCCAAAGACTCAGTAAAAAAAACTATTAAACCTCATAGAAAGATTCAGCAAAGTGGCAGGGTATAAGATCAACATATAAAAATCAAACACCTTGAGGGAATGAGTTGCTGGGCCTTGGGCTCAGGACCATAGGCTCAGGGGACATCAGTGGTATAACATAGTCCACAAAAATAATGTTCCACATCATACTTTGATGAGTAGCAACTGGAATTTTAAAAGTGTTAGTGTGGCCATCTAATGTGCAACTATTGGTCTCTCACTGCCCAGAGCAAAGAGGAATAGACAAAATTAAAAACACATGGAAATAATTAGCCAAAAAGGACTAATGGAACACTCGAGCCTCAGCCCCCACAACCCTAAGACCAGATGAACTAGATGGTGCCTGGCTTCCATTACCAACCACTCTAATTGGAATCACAATAGAAGGTACTAGATAGAGTGGAAGGAAAATATCAATGAAAACTCAAAATCTAGTCTTTTAGAGACTGATGGAACCCCCAAGACTATGGCCTTTAGTTACCCTTCAAGTCTGGAACTGAACTAAACCTTATGGCTCAATTTACAGCCAAACAATAGACAAGCCTATAAGGTAAAGAATAACACCAGAGATACACACTTCTTAGAACAATCAACCATATGTGATCAAAAAGGCTGCATTTGACCAGTGACAAAGTTCAGAACACAAGAAAGATGAGTGGAAACAGGAAGCAAAAGAAAGAAGTAGGATGAGTGCAGTTACACTGTGGTACAATCAATGAAAAATTAGTTCACTCTGTAAACTTTCTCTCAAATCACAGCAAAAGTTTTCAAAAATCCATTCTCAGTGGATAAAAGAGGGGAAATAATGTAGAGATGCTTGGCTGTCTTTTGAATCTTGGTTTCCCTTGCTTATTATTGTAAAATAGACACTTGAGGGGAAGAGAAAAGAATAGCCAGAAACATCACCATAGAAAGCCTGTAAGTCCATCTTCAGCCTATAAATGATTGGAACACTAAAATGGGGCTAGGACTTGCCCAGTGAAGGAGGCTTCTGCAGAGCCTTTGCATCACATAAGACCATAGGTGGAATCCTGATTCCCATCCAGAATCTTCTGCGGTGGGAAATTTCCACTTGAAAGGACAAGCAGACCAGCCTAGAGTGGTTAGAAGAACAGAAGATACTTCTTAGAAAAAGACCAGCAGGAAAAATAAAAAAACAATAATGGCAGTCTGATTGACTACTACAAAAACAAGCAAGTTATTCACCAGGGAGCCATCTCAGCAAGTGGTTGGGTTCTATTAGGGCAAACCCCGCTTCTAAGACTGAGATTCAAGGTGAATAAATGAGCAGGCATGTGGTCTTGCTGGTGACCACGTTGGTCTACTGATAAGAAGAAGTGGGGGGGGGGGGAATAGCAATGAAGTTGTGAACTAAGTCCAACCATGTTCAATAGACTCCTGTCAATCTGGATTGAGACCCAGTTGGCTAGCAGTATGGCAAGACATGGGGACTCCTGGGCCCAGAGACAGGGACATGGCCACAGAGGACTAGAGCAGAAAGTGAAGTGTCCATCTGATATGAAGTGAGGGGAGATGCATAAGAACACCCATACTTGCAAATAGTACCCACTTGACCTGGCGTCAATGGCTGGATGATCAAAACTCAATTAGAGGAAGAAAGAAGAAGAAAAAAAGAGTAATCAACTTGACCCATACTCATTGATGTAACAGCTCAAAAGAGGGAACGAATCTTTACAGCAAGAATCATTCCCACCCTCTCAGTACACAGAGTTGACAGGAATGGGCAACTTAGACATTGGCTGCCCAAAACGGGTGGGGGGTGGGGGAGGCAGGGGCACTACAAAGGCGTGAAGTGACTGGCTTACAAGCTTTCAATAGGGAATCTAGTTTCAGAGGGTGCAGGGGAAGGCAGAATCCCCACTGAGTGATTTCCAACATGTCTGGACGGGGCTATTGCAAGGAGATGAGGAAAAGACTCTTGTAGTTCAATAGTGAATAATTGCTTTCAGGACTGATTAAGTGTATTGCAAATGTAAAGGTAGATGTTTTGTAACAAAAGGAGGGGAGTGGTTGATCTTGCAGTCCAGGGGCACAGGACCCTGGGACCATCAAGGGAAAAGATCAGAGTGCAGGACCCTATCTAGAGAAGCAGTGATGCCAGAAATGGAGGTAGAGATGATGACGTAGAGAGATGGAGTGGCTGGAGACTCTGGACTCAGGGAGGGAGAGGGTCTGTGTGTTGATGGCTGGGGGCAGGCATGTGGGGTGTACTCTTTGCCTGTTTGAATGATTATATATTCCTGAGTGCTTCAGTGTACATTTAAAAAAAAACAGAGGGAATGGAAGCAAATGCTGTTGAGTGATGATGCATGGAGGGGATTGGAATCATTGCAATGAAACGAAATATGATAGGATGAATGTAAAGCTGATGTTCTCCCATGTTAAAAAAAAAAAAAAAATCCATTCTTTTCTAAATGAGGTTGTCTCAGAACCCCCATCGCTGGATTCCACTTATGCATTACGTAAAACTTGGTCTTGGAAGAAGTACAGTCAGAATGTTCCTAAGTAGCAAAAATGGTGAGACTTTGTCTCATGCACTTTGGACATGTTATAAGGAGGGGCGAGTCCCTGGAAAAGGACATCATGCTTGGTTAAGTAGAGGGTCAGTGAAAAACAGGACGACACTCAAAGAAATGGATTGACACAGTGGCTGTCATGATAGGCTCAAACATAACAGTTGTGAGGATGGTGCAGGACTAGGCAGTGTTTTACTCTAATTCACATACAGTTGCTATGAATCAGAACTGACTCATAGTACCTAATAATAACAACAAAACTCAAGGACAATGAACTAATTTATTTACTGTTGGATTCTATTCTTAATTTCTTCATATTGTCCCTTTCAGTTAAAATACCTCTAAGAGATATTTTATATATTGTAATGATAGTCGATCAGTCTTTGTGTATCTTTTTGTCTGTATCGTGTTAAGGGCAGTGGTCTTTTACCATCATTGAAACTCTTTAGGTTACTACATGATAATAATGGCCTGGGCAAAAGCAGTCTTTCATAGGTCTCTGCAATAAGCACCTTCAAGCTCTCTCACTTTCTGGAACTTACTCTTGAGTGGCATACCTTGGCCTGTGAAGACCTGGCCTGGGATGCCTTAGGCTGAGATGGTCTGGGCTGATGGGACTTAAATTGGGTACACTTAGGCTGAGAGGGTAAGGACTGGGGGGCTTTATGTTGAGAGGCCTGGGACTGAGTGGGTTTGGACTGGGGGTCTTTAGGTTGAGAGGTCTTTGATTGAGTGGGATTAGATTGAGAATATGCATGTTGAGAGGGTTTAGGCTGGGAGTACTTGGGTTGACTAGATTTGGGCTGAAAGTTAGTGGACATGGGATGGGATTTTGTTTGGAAAGCTGGATCCGAAGGCCTTCTCTGTGTCCTATCCTGGGATCTTTGCTGAGAAACAGATCTTATGGACTTTTGTGGGGTTCCTGTTGGTTGAAAGGCTTGGTGATGCGGATCTTTTATACAGGATGTTGTTCTCATGTGGTTTCCAGTTGCTGCAGATTGCCGTGTTCCCCGAGCACGGGGTGGCCCTGGATGTGGCTTTCTAACGCCTCCTGGTAGCTGTGAGCCAAAAGCTCCCATTGGTTTTGGTCTTTCAGGCCAGGCTTGTATATGCTTAAAAATAGGTCTTGGTTGCCTCTCAAACATTCCAGTTGTTGAAAACTTCATGAACCTTTCACCTGAATAAAATCTTTGGGGCTGGAAGTATTGTAGACCAAATCCTTTACCTTGACTATGGGCCCTTGTATTATGAAAGACCAAAGGACGGACCCACTTACATCTCTGCTCTAACCAAAAGTGGGAGCCCATAAGCCAGGGGGGTCTCAAGGAAGCCTGGTTAAAGTTACCTCCAATTCTGGGTAGTAACGGTGAGGAGATTTGTGGAGGAGGCATGAATCCTGGGACGGAGTAGATGTTCTGAGGATTCTGACATATAGCTCCAGGTTCTCTTGTAGGCATTTGAGCTGGGGATTTTGGTTGACTATGTCTTTGTTTTCTCTCACTTTCAGCTGTTCCAGTCATGTTTTCCCCAGGAGAAACTTGAATTCCTTGAGTGTCCTCATAGTCTTGGTCTACTTGGATCCCCAATTCCCTGGCCAGGAAAGCCATGTCCTCCACAGACACGTATCTGGGTTCAGAGCACATCACCTCCTGGAGGGCCACTTGAAGGCACCCCATGTCCTTCCCTTCATCCTCAGCTTCCTCCCCCTCTAAAAACAGTATCTGTGATGGCTTCAACTCTAAGATCCTCTGAAAAATATGGGCCTCTTCATTCTCCCTGGCCTGGGGACTGAGGACAAAGTAGCATCTTTCAATGGTACCTTTTCCTAAGAACCTTAGCAGATTCCATTCCTTCTCACCTAGGTAGTCACTGAAAAAAAACACAGCTGAAGAAACTTCCATCAAAAAACCAAACTGTGTCCAAAAACTTTCTAGGTCTCCACGAAGGTTGGCCACAGCAATGGACTTCTGGATAAAACTAGAGTTTTCCTTCAGACTATCACCATCAGGAAAACACCAAGTTATCTCAACCAGGCCATCAGAGATTTGCCGAGGAGGCACCAAAACAGGTGAATCCTGGTGAAGGAAGATTTTGTGTGATCTCATTTGGGCAGTGTTAAGGAGTTTGTTGAGGATTCTGGTTTTGGAGAAACTACAGGACTGTAAACGAACAAAAGAGATGACAGGCATCTTGATGTGAGCCAGGAAGTCTTCTGTGTCCTTGGCAGGACCCCCTGAACGCTGGACTGACTGCTGTTTCACAATGTCCTTCATGGCCCCCAGCATTAAGATGCTTCTGTTGTTTTCTGCATCTGGCAGTAGCAGGGGAAGAGCAAAATGGCATAGATACATATTTGACATGAGTTCACATTGCAAAGAGCTATGTGAACACAGCATGGTGGCACAAAGAACATCAAGGGGATTAATGGACTGGATGTCTCTAAGTTCCAAATTTTCCATTTCAGTCAGCAATTCCCCCTCGCAGTCCTCACTCAGAACCCTGTGCCTGACAATTGAATCTCTGGCTGTCACATCTAGTGCTTGAACTTTCATCAGGAAATCCCAAACTAAATCTCCAGGATTCTCAGGTGTCCACTTATATTCATGGTTTAAGGAGAATTGTTTCACAAGATCTGGCAGAAGCTTTCTGCTCCTATTCAAGTTCAGGTATGACAGGACGTCTTTAAACACTTTTTTTCTTTCTGTTGGAGAAAAGATAATCAGTGAATGTCACGTTTAGAGTCTAAGCTATCCTCAAAGACTTTTAAAATCAAATAAGTAAATGACCTCATTGCAAAAAGATCAAGCAAAAAGTCCTAGAACTTTCCTTTCCCTGCCAAACCCACTTCACTTCTAAGAGTTATGTTGATATGTTTGTTTCTCATCCTTTTTCTACACAGGTACATATATATACATACATATGTAGGAATATATAATTGTGTTCAATTGATGTTATTTGATTTTTACATAAATTATATCCTACTAAACAAATGATTCTTCAACATCTTTTCACCTACTAGTATTTCTAGAAAAATCTTCTAAGTCTATAATTTTATCCATCATGTGGTATTATATGGTTTTTTAATGAAACCAAAAAAACAACCCCACTGTTGTTGTTGTTGTTGTTAAGTGCTATCAAGTCGGTTCCAACTTAGAGTGACCCTGTATAGGGTTTCTCAGGAGCAGCTGGTGAGCTTGAACCACTGACCCTGCAGTTCAAACTGATCTTACAGTTTAGCACATTAACTTGGTGACCCATGAGCCATTATTTTGTAATCATTGTCTAATTACCTTTTAAGGAGCCCTCTGGTGCTGTGAGTTATGCATTCAACTGCTAACTGCAAAGCTTACAGTTCAAACCCACCAACCACTCCATGGGAGAAAGATGAGGCAGTCTGCTCCCATAAAGATTTATAGTCTCAGAACCCCTATATAGGATCGCTGAGTCAGAACTGACTAGATGGCTCTGGTTTTTTGTTTAATTGTGTATCAATGACCATTTAAATCAGGGGTGGGAAACTTTTTTTCTGCCAAGGGCCATTTAGATAGTTAAAACATCATTAGCTGGCTATACAAAATTATCAACTTTAAAATTAGCATGCTATAGTTGATCAAACATTTAATTAACATACCCCAAATGTGAGTCCTGGTGTGGCACCGTAGGATAAGCAGTTAGGTTCAAGGTCGGTTTGAACCACAAGGTTAGCTGTTCAAACTCACCAGCTGCTCCTCAGAAACCCTACATAGGGTCGCTATGAGTCAGAACAGACTTGACAGCACTTAACAACAACAACAATAATGTGATGGCTGGAACTGTAGTAACCTTGGCAGGGGCAGACCAAATGATTTCATAGGCCGTATACAGCCTGCAGGCTGGACGTTCCCCACCTCTGATTTAGATGGTTCCTTTTCTGTTGTAGTGAATCTTTATATGGAGCAATTTAAAACTGTGCTAACATGTCTCATTGTACACATGTGTTACGACGTCTCTAAGTTAACATTGATTTCTTTCTGAAGTTTATCTACTACTAAATTTTGGAATAACTAAAGATTTTATTTCCATGGAAGTTTTGTCAGAATTTATACCTTACCACTTGTTTCTTTCGATCTCCCATTTTCTAAAGTATCTTTTAGCTACTTGTTGTACATACAGAGACGGTACTTAGTAAAGGAACAGATCCCAATGGAACATGACTGATGGCAAGCTAGCAGAAGCTGTTTGTATCCATCTCTAAAAGTGACTTAAGAGAATCTATAGAAGTGAAAGAAAAGTAAGCATTTCAGAAATTAACAAAAGTAACTAAAATAAACTCTTGGGTAGTGAAAGAGGTACTTAAACTGAAATAGATGCTAGAGCAAGACAGTGAGGGAGAAATGGCTATTAATATGAACAGGTCCCAAATGAGTCAGTAAGAGGATAAGTTGTAGGAAAATTTTAAATTCTCTTCTTACCCATCTCCTACTGTCCTTTAAGACAACCATTCCTTGCTCCTTCCACACAGAAAATGGCACCAACACAGTCAAGGTCAGAGGCGTGTTGACAAGATAATAGAAACATAGGACAGTGTAAACTGTTAACATGATTAACTGCAAACTGGAAGACTGGAGGTTTGAGGAGAACAAACAAGATGGTGGATCGAGTGGAAGTGCAGTGAGGAGCTCCATTGGCAACAACACAGAATACAGGACCAAGCAGGCTCAGGGGATGGTCCCAGAACTCTGAACCACATATAAAGGAATGTTGAGAAGGTTGGAAGGCTTACAGTTAGGGGGATTTATAGCAGAAGCAAGAAATCCATTGCTTTCTAATTCAAGACACTCAGCTGCTCCAGGAGCCACCATCTTGGGTGAAACCAAGCCAGGGAAGGATCAGAGCAGCCATGGACACCTGACAGAACTGTGGAGACAAAGGTATGGACATTCTTTTCTTTTGGTATATGTTTATTGGTCCCTTGCTGTCTGCACACCTCGATTCTGGCAACTATAGGGGTGCCTGAGCTAGTGGACAGCCCCACCCTCAGAGGGTTCTACTACGCATGCACACAGATTGCCTCAAAATTTAAAGAGACAGTTTCCACTTAAAACCAAACGGCCACAGCCAGCCCTGAACTATTTATAACTAGAAAAAAGCCCTGAACAGGGATTGTGGAGAGGGGCAGCCAGACAAAAGAGGAAATAGGCCAAAAATTGAACCCTAAGTTACGTCAAAATGACCAACAATGGCATCTTGAAATTTCTCAAGAAGAACAGTGAAAAGGGAAGCCCATTTCCTGATCACATCTTCCTGGAGGCAATCAGAAAGCATTAAAAAATGCCAAAATACACACCCATCTAACTAGTAAGGCCACAGATAACCACTGAATATGCCCCAAAACTGAAGCAGATGACCATATCTGCACATGTCCAGAAACGAGATAAAGTGACTGAGGCAAATGAGCTGGAAGTACACCTACACTCATGGGCAGGCTTTGGAAATGCCTGAGAAAGAATTCAGAAAAAAAGATTATAAAATGTATTAAAACACTATACAATGGAGTTGAGAAAAATAAGGAAGAAGTCAGGAAAGTGCTACAGGA